ATTAAGACCAATGAGTAAATAAAGTATGTGTTGATTACTAACAGATCATTGACCTTAGTTGATATATCACCAACTCTCCCATTGATATCATCATTTAGAGCATCTTGAATGAAGTCATCATCTTCTTAGACAAAATGAGCTCAGTCAGCAATATAGGCAATTGACGATAATGCACAATTTAGATTATAGATTATAAACACAAGGTAATAAGACCAAATCCAAATAAATAAATAGTGTGTGACGTTTCAGTAACAGCGTTGTTACCATCTTCAGACAAAAGTACTGAATGAGAAATTTTACCACAGCATGTTTTAAATAGCTACTGTTATCAAGTGTGTAAACAAGATAGCAGATAAGAAGAAGATAGTTAAAACAAGCTGTTTTAAAATTTCTCATTCAGTACTTTTGTCTAATGATGGTAACAACGCTGTTACCGAAACGTCACACGCTATTTTTTTTATTTGGATTTGGTCTTATTACCTTGTGTTTATTAGACAATTAACATAGTTTTATTGACATTTTGTCAATACATGCAAAAGTGCACAATCTGCACTATTTCAAAATGATAATTATATATATGCATAACACTATGTACAAAGAATATGGGGTCTCTGCCACCGCTGCAGAGTTGGTGGAGAATCGCCAGCGGGTCTTTTCATATACAAGAGATAGGTATGCCATATATATATATTTCCCAATTTTATGGGGAATTGTATCTTTGATTCCAGAAGAAATTTCAGAATTCTAAAAGTTGCTGGCACACAGATGTCAAATGTTAAAATCTAATCCAAGAAACCTTACAAGAGTTGTGTGAAAAAGGAAACTCCCTAAACCAGTATGATGTCCCAAGTATATGGCACAGTACTCCATCATGGGAAGTTGGTTGACATCAATTTAGAGGGCTGGCAATGGGACAAATTTAAATGTATATTGTCAAATGAGCAGCTCTTGCTGTCAGGTGGATGGTAACTAATGTAGTGAAATACCCAGCAGTGTTTCTTATTGGGCTAACAATACTCAAGCTTGTAAATATATTGTGTTCAGATGTGTGTGTTTGTGTGCTAGTCAATATGATTGTGTAAATTCTGTTAAATTAAATTCCTCTATTTTATATGAAGATGACAAATATTTCTGGTCTGTGCTGCATGGCTCACTCAGTGTCTTCTTTCTTATCTCCACTCAAACATATTAGGGGTATCAACTTGTGACCCTTGATGGTGTCTGTTTGACAACCATCATGACTGAGTGAAGTAGAATGCCTTTGTCATTAAGACTGGGAGCACTACTCAGTGGCAGGCCGACTTAGCTCCAAAAGAAATGGCCGCCTCTGACATGAGGAACAGACGCCATATGCAGCTGCTCCTAACATGGAGTACAAACGCTGCTCATCCTGTATCCCTGGATTAGGAGCCCTTACAGGGTACTATCAGCCGGGCCAGTTGAGCCCAGGTTTTTTTACCGAGCTTGTTACTGCTCCCCCTCTTCCTTTTTCATCCAGGCTTAGGACCAGCAAAGGCGGAGTTCTCACTTAGTATGATGTCAACCAACTTCTCATGATGGGGTACTGCGGCGTATACTTGGGACATCATGCTGGATTGGAGAGTTTCCTTTGTCAAACAACTCCTCTGAGGTTTCTTAAAATAGATTTTAACATTTGAAATCCGTGTAACAGCAACTTTTAGAATTTTGAAATTTCTTTTGGAAAACCTAAGATACAGTTCCCCACAAAATAGGGAAATATATGGCATACTTCTCTCTTGATATGCAAACTTGGCTGCCCAATTATGTATTTATGTTCAGAATTTTGAAATTTCTTCTGGAATCAAAGATACAATTACCTACAAAATAAGGAAATATATATATGGCATACCTCTCTCTTGTATATGCAAACTTGGCTGCCCAATTATGTATTTATGTTCAGAATTTTGAAATTTCTTCTGGAATCAAAGATACAATTACCTACAAAATAGCGAAATATATATATGGCATACCTCTCTCTTGTATATGCAAACTTGGCTGCCCAATTATGTATTTATGTTCATCAGAGTTCTAAATGATTATGGCAACAAACAGTGGGGAAGTGGCATGTCCAAATTAGGCATAATAAAAATGAGAAAGAGTTGGATGGCAGTTGTTGACCTGATGTTGGACAAGACCCATCTCTCTTTTTCACTCTGGAGTAGTGAGCTGACATCTGCAGTGACCCTTCCTCTACATGGTTGTTTACCTTTGTAATTTGGTGTGTTCACCCTCCACTCTACAACTGCTCAACCCATCAAAATTTGATCACCTATATCTAACAGAATCTCTGCCGGCTGAGATATACTACGTTGAATTTCTCTGGCTGCATGTGGCTTATAAATAAACAAACATGTGATCCTCAAAAGAGGATATTTGATTTTGTTAAAATTAACTCTGAACAATGAACTCTAGCTAATGTTATTTTGGTGATAAACTCTGGAGACATCATTGAGAGAGAATTCTTTCTTGCTGGTAGTAGAAAATTATTTTATACAAAAAAAAAAGAAACATGTTAGAAATAATTTGTTGTTGTTGTTGTCGTGTCCAAAGAAGAGTCTCAGATGTCTCCATGCATCTACATCACAGCAGCAGCAATGTCCACTATCTTGGGTGTTGCTCTTCATTGGAAAATGGGTGCCGTTGCCACGTTAGTCACCTTGAAAACGAACCAGAATTTGGTCGAATATTCCAAGGGTCCAGGGGGGACCGCAGGGAGGTGTGGTCGGACTTCTCCCCCCCCCCCGAGAAATAATTTGAATTTCTTATAACAGATGGCATGCCGATCAATAATGTAAATACTTCTTTCTCTTTGTAAACCTTGTAGAATGTTGTGATTCTGGCAGCAATAGTGTGCTCCAGACTGTACTGGTGGGAAGAGCTGTGTCCAAATAAGGCATAACAAAATGGGACAATTGTTGACAGGCTGTAGGATAAGACAGAGATGACTGTTGTGATTCTGGCAGCAATGGTGTAAACTGTACTGACACTGTACTGTGCAGGCTAGACAAACTGGCAGCTGAGGTGGTGCCACTCACCAGACGAGGACCTCTTGTCGTTCTCTGTGTGCTGAAGGGGGCGTTCCAGTTCTGCACGGACCTGCTGGAACGGGTGAAACAGCAATCTCTCTCTTACCCCGGCAAAAGTCATCCAATCACCCTGGAGTTTATCCGGTTACGGAGCTACAGGGTACGTAGACATCCTTAGAGAGGGGTTGCTGATGGCCATAGAGAATTGCCATGTTTTCCTCTTCCTTGCCATCCATATATGGTCAATACTTACATCAATTGAATCTGATTGGAAAGTAAAAAAAATCAGTACATTAATGCTGGTTTTAAGGCAGAAGACCAAATGTGTGGACAACAGACAGGTTATTCAAGTACATGGACTAGATAACCTGGAGACCGTATGTTCTTAGTCACTTATAAGTTTCTGCCTAAAAATGCTTTTTACTCTAATTTCAATACTTTTTTTTAATCTTCTCACTATTGTGTAATAGTGTATAAATTAGTTATTTACATATATATGTGTTCTGAAAATAGAGCAATCCCTACTTAAATCATTAGATAATAAAAAGGCATAGATTGAATAAAAGATTATTTGCCAATATTTCAGTTGGCTGAACGCCAACCTTTATCAAGGTATTACATTTTAAAAAAATTATTTCAACTGTGATATTATAACACTATGCCGCGCTGAGTTTGTTTATACAAAAAATTCAATGCCTTGATAAAGGTTTGGCGTTCAGCCAACTGAAATATTGGCAAATAAATCTTTTATTCAATCATATATATGCATTTTTATTATCTAATATATATATATGTGTGCATATATTAAAACATCTAATACAACCTATGTTGGTTAAAACATTATTTTAAAAAATTGAGCTTCTTTTTATTAAACCACCATGCAAGCTCTCAAGCGGAAGTTGTTCCTACAATCAAGCTCTATATCAACTTAGGATTGTTTTCATATGTATGTATGTAGAATTCTTATTGGCTTCTTGAAGACAGCCTATTAGGGTATTATTCAGCTTTCTGTGAATCTGAAAGTGATGAAACCATTGATTGTGAGGATCTGAGTGAATCCTTATCTTCAGAATTATCCAAGAGATAAAGCATGCTCCAGTCAATTTAACAGACATTATTTTTTATTCTGAAACATTCTGAGCTACTCTTGCTTTCTAGGAGTTTTCAAACAGACCCTCTATCAATTTCTCAAGCCATAGGTTGGCAGCTGGCAGTATTCCTCTCATGAGCTTCTTTTCAATGGCTAGTCTTTTGATTGTTCTTAAAATTAACGATACTTCGGCCAGTAAATCTTCAAAAAATTTAAAGATTTAAATAAAAGGATTTACTGGCCGAAGTATCTTTAATTTGAATAACTATGAATGCCGGCTAGGCAGCCTCTAACTTTACGATAGTCTTTAGATGGTATTGTAGAACCTTCTCCCAAAAATGGTTCAAGAATTCCATTCTCAGCTTTTCTCTTTCTTCTTATTCCTTCCCTCCATCAAGACCTTCATTTACTCCGAGATGTCCAAACATGCCAGCTCTTCTGCTCTTACTCCTCTCCATTAGGCCATATCCCTTCTTTGTAAATTTTGGGACATCTTCATTGGCCTAATCTGTCAGTTCTCATCATTCACCATTTACACTACAATTTGAAAGTCTCTTTTTGTTTTTCTAGGAATTCTCTTTGGTGATCTTGGGAAGAGGAATGTGGTAGGTTTCTTTTGCCACTACAGTCATACTGAGGCCAAATCCTAGCCTTACAAACAAAAAAGTAAAGTAACACTCAAACCTAAACCAAATTAGGATACCAATGTTTTAGAAAGACATTTGAAAATTATCCTGCATGTGTTTCTTTTGAACGAAAAATCAAAATTTATTTTAAGGAGAAATAACGATTATTTCTAACCTTAGGGATGAAGTATGAGAGGATGAATTGTGAAGAGTAATGATGAACAGAAAAATAAAAGTGTCCAGAGATGGGAATCGAACCCACAGTGTTCCGCTTACTGGGCTGATGCCATGTCCACTAGGCTACCCTGGACATATTTTTCTGCGTAAATATTATATAAAGTAATTTATAATAGAATATAATGTAGCTTATAAGGTTTTCTTTGTTATTAGGATCTCACCTCATGTTGTATCTCTATATAAATCCTACATCTTATATACAACAATGTTCCATATACAGTCAAACCTGTCTTGGAGGTTTACATTTGGTTCCAAGAAAAAATGCACACAAAAGATTGGTGACTTCTAAGACTGGTTGAATAAAATTATATAAAATAAAGCTATTCATATGCAAATTTAATGTGATGCTCTTAATATAGGATATTCAACACATTTAACCTTTAGGGATTTAACAAATTTTAGAAGTGAATGAGTTTAACAGGGTCGGATTTATTGGAAAACAAATGATTTCACTAAAAGTGGGAATTCCCATTAAGACAGAAAAACTTCCAAGACAGGTTTTACCGTATATTTGACCTTGAAACTGGGTGTAGTTAGGCACGGAGTGAACATAGAGCCAATGATTCTGGTGGAAATACATTTAATTATTATAATTTTTTAGGGGGTTTCCCCTTTATTGCAGTCTAGAATGCAAGTATCACTTTTTTTAGCATTTCTGAAAAATTACCTCATTATCAATGTTACATTATCAAGGTTTCAAACTTTGGCTCTCTTGAAAAATCTTAGGTTGCAATTTATATTGTTAATGTTTTGTGTTCTAAAATATTTCCATTTTTGTTCAATATGAGTTGACTGTACTAATCAGCTGATGTTGTACATGTGCGAGGTTGATGGTGGATGTGTGGTCAGAACGACAAGTCTACAGGCAACGTGGAGGTGGTGGGAATGGACGACTTGGAATCCCTCGCAGATAAGGTGAGTGTTGTAGACATGGTCTATCTTATTGGTTGAAGTCTCAATGTCTTTTACTGCTTTTATTACTGGTGGTCCCTAGCCAACTCTGGATGCCACATGACAATGGCAAGGTGAGAGATGATGGACCTCAGTCATAACCTTTTACAGTAGAACCTTCCTTTAGCAGACACCTCTCTACAAAGAACAGTTTTAATTTGCAAAATTACCATTTTTACTATTTAGCAACTCTCTGGTAAGAGGACACCTCTCCCTAAAGGACACTAAGTGCAATTCTCAGCCTGCAACCCCATGACATATTATTGACTGTATTGACTCATCCATTGATGAGCTCTACTTTTCCCCGGCAGACACCATCAAAAATCTCAAGCTTTACAAGCTTGATACCTTAGTGTGATTGAGTGAAGATAAGAAAGAAGAAGAAGAAGGACACTTCTCCCTAAAGGACACTTTGACTCTGCAATTAAGTGTTTTTTACAGGGAGGTTCTACTGTATATCTAGGAGAAGGAAATCTCATATTTTAAACTAAGAGTAGTTAGGGCTCTTCATAACCTAGGGGAGCAAAGTCTGACTGTCATGCGGTGGATAGCCAACCAATAACAGCAGCTCCCCATCATGGAGACTTGTGGACCTATATTCTCCCGAGGAGAATGTCACTGAAATGTCGGGGACTAAATAAAATATTGGTTCATGTATCTTTTCCTAGAGATAAAATTATGAATGAAGAGACTTTTCAAGAAGAACTTAAGAAAGATGACAACAAATGAATTAAATGATGAATATAATAATACAATAAATGAGAATTATAAAGCAATGGGGGCACTGAGCTGTAAGAAGTTGGAACTCCCAGATGTTTTATAATGACTTGGAGTGAGAGAATCTACTGTAATTGACAATCACCAAAGATTGGCCGTAGCACCAAATCAAACAACTGATCCATAGCCATGGAGCTTTGTTACTGTTTTCTGGACCTACTTTTACCACAACACTGGAGAATAAGAGGTAGCCATTATAAAAAAAAAAAATTTACTCAAATCAAATTTGAGAGCTATTTTTACCATATCTAGTCTTCTTTCTTCTTCATTCTTATCTCCACTCAATCATATTAAGGTATCAAGCTTGTAAAGCTTGAGACTTTTGATGGTGTCTGCCGGGGAAGAGTAGAGCTCATCAATGGATGAGTCAATACAGTCAATAATGTGTTTTGGGGTTGCAGACCATATCTAGTGGAACTCTACTATAACAGCCTTTTTCACAACAATCTCTTTATAAACTCACACTCTTCTAAAAATCCCAAGTTTTAAAAGTTTCATTGTTTTAAATATCGTTACAATAACAACATGGATATAAATAAAAAATATTAAGACCAAATCCAAATAAATAAATAGTGTTTGATGTTTAGATAACAGTTGTGTTAACATCATCAGACAAAAGATTTAATGAGAAAAAATATCACAACATGTTCTTAAATAATTAGTACTGTTACCAAACGTATGTAAACAAGATAGCAGATAATTATATGCTCTTCTTATCTGCTATCTTATTTACACACTTGGTAACAGTACTAATTATTTACATGCTGTGATATTTTTCTCATTAAATCTTTTGTCTGATGATTATAACATCGCTGTTAATGAATCGCACACACAATTTATTATTTGGGTTTGTTCTTATTATCTTGTGTTTCTTTGCTTTTCACATGTATAGACATGTGGTGCAATTACAGTAAAAGCAGTCACCTTCTTCTACCCACCATGATTATCACAGCCTGTACCACGTGTACTAGGGATAAGCAAAAAAAAAAAAAAAAATCTTGTGTTTCTAGTCTATAATCCAAATTATACCTTATTAATATGGTTTATAACATCAGTCCTAAGTGATGTTTTTATAACGAGGTTATAATGTTTGGTGTTATAGTACTGCCATATCCAACACCTCCATTACATTAGGTATCTGGATTTAGAGAGTTGCAATTTCTCTGTTATATTTGTCTAGTTTTGAAACTACAGGGAAGTTTTGTTTTGTGGCCGTCTGGAAACCAACAGCTGCTGAAACAAGTGTATTACTGATCCAACTACACCTGTGTTTTTTTTTTGTGTATTTCTCAATTCAAGCACTTTGTTATTTGATATATCATATTTAGTATTCTCATCTAATTGAACTGGCTGAGGTAAGGATGGTTGTGACTTTCATGTTGTTTTTCTACCATGCTTGTGTAAGTTTCTGACATCTTTTAGTACTTGTTACTTGGGTTATATAACCACCTGGAACAAATTCCTAAAAAGCACAAAATCATAAGTCGAAAGACTTCTTTTGATGAAAGGAAACCTTTTGCCTTATGATTCTGTGCTTTTTTATGTATTTGTTACTCTTTCATATGAAGTTTATTCATTTCTTTTTCCCTTCTTGCCCTCTCTCAGCTGAAAAATATTGAGGTATTTATGGAAGCTGGGCAGATAGTTAGCATTTATCTGTAAATTATAAATGTGTTGTTGTTGTTGTTGTCGTGCACAATAAAGAGCCTCAGATGTCTCCATGCATCTCTATCACAGCATCAGCAATGTCCACTATCTTGGGATCAAAGTATAAATGTGTGTGAAAATGATAATTTTTCCTCAATTTCACTTTTTAAAAAACACACACAAGAAAGAATAGTCCACAACACTATTACTAAAAGTGATGGTTCTATATGAATAACTAAAAGAATCATGGGTTGTGTGCTTATTTGTTCCACATATGTTTCCACAATAAAAATACAAGGTACAGTTAAACCTGTCTATAGCACCCCCTCTAAATAGTGCCTTCCTCTCTATAGCGCCTGATTTTAAATACATAGTACGATGCGATTTACATTAAAAGTGACCTGTCTATAGAACACTCTATTTTGTTGAGTCCCAAGAGGGGACGCTATAGACAGGTTTAACTGTAATAAGACCAAATAAATAGTACATGACCTTTCAGCAATGGCATTGTTACCATCATCAGACTAAAGTACTGAATAATGCTCTTAATAAAGGATATTAAATTTAGAAGCTTAAAAATATTTAGAAGAGAACAAATTATACAAGGTCAGATGGCCAAGAAAACTAATGTTGATGCCAACACTTGAAGATTCTATTTTAAAGAATTCAGGATCTGAAGCTCTCCTCTATTATGGATTAGATCTTATTTTCTTGATTTTTATTTAATTATAAGTCAGGGGAAGAAGGTTTATTTTAGTTTCTTTGTGTGTATGTATTTTTTGGCCTCTTTTGCCATATCTCTTGTGTTGTATATCCAATTTACCAACATATCTTCTTCTTCTTTCTTATCTCCGCTCAATCATATTAGGGTATCAAGCTTGTAAAGCTTGAGACTTGACAACCATCATGATTGAGTGCAGTAGAATGCGTCTGTCTTTGTCATTAAGACTTGGAGCACTACTCAGTGGCAGGCCACTGACTTAGCTCCAAAAGAAATGGCCGCCTCTGACATGAGGAACAGACGCCATGTGCAAGCCGCTCCTAACATGGAGTACAAACGCTGCTCATCCTGTATACCTGGAGCCCTTACAGGGTACTATCAGCCGGGCCAGCTGAACCCAGGTTTTTTAGTGAGCTTGTTACTGCTCCCCCTCCTCCTTTTTCATCCGGGCTTGGGACCGGCAAAGGCGGAGTACCAACATATGGTATCACTTTGTGTTTGTGATTTTTTGGCCTCTTTTACCATATCTCTTGAGTTGTCTATCCAATTTACCAACAAACATGGTATCACTTGTCATGTATGTGTGCAGAATGTGCTGGTGGTAGAAGACCTGGTGGATACAGGTCGTACTCTGAGAAGTTTGAAGAAAACCCTGGAAACCTACCAACCACAGACTGTCAAAGTGGCCGCGTAAGTTCTCTCTCATATACCTTCTTCTTCTCTGAGTTTAGATAAAAACATTAATGAAATATAGTATAAAAGTGAGAAATTGTTATGTCTGTTTCTTAATTGTAAAGTTTGATTGAAAAATCATGACTGCAAGTAACAAATAAGTATATAGTTGTACAATGTTATAACATTCTTCAATAACAGTCACCTGACATCATAATGCCAAATATTAAGTTCAAATGATTTTATCAGTGGTTATGTCAACAACAATGTTAAAACACTATAAAATCTTCACAAGGTAATAAGAC